TAATGCTGACCTCATAAAATGAGTTAGGAAGTATTCTTTCTCCTAAGTGTGTATAGTAAGGATATTATTTTGTTCCTTAAATGCTTGAAATTAAGTTCTTTAACAGAGATACAGCTAAAATTTCCATTTTCCTTGAGTCAGTTTTGGCAATGTTGTATCTTTTATTGAATTTGTCCAGTTCCTCTAATTTGAAAAAGTCATTGGCAAACATTGTTCATAGTATTTCCTTATTATTCTGTTAATATCTGCAGGATCTGTAGTGATGCTCCTTCTTTCATTTCAAATAAATATAATCTGTTATAATTTGTGTCTTTTTTTCCCCCATCAGATAAAAGTTTATCCAGATTTTGATTGTACTGATTTTCTCCACTATTTTTCTATTCCATCAATCTCTATTTTTGTGTTTATTATTTCTTTTTTCTGTTTGTATTGGGTTTAATTTCTTCTTCTTCTAGCTGCTTATGATGGAAGCTTGGATAACTGGTATGGGATCTTCTGATCTTTTCTCTTTCTTTCTTTTTCTTTCTTTCTTTCTTTCTTTCTTTCTTTCTTTCTTTCTTTCTTTCTTTCTTTCTTTCTTTCTTTCTTTCTTTCTTTCTTTCTTTCTTTCTTTCTTTCTTTCTTTCTTTCTTTCTTTCTTTTCCTTCCTTCCTTCCTTCCTTCCTTCCTTCCTTCCTTCCTTCCTTCCTTCCTTAATAGTGGTGTTCAAAGCCAAAAAATTCTCTTTAAGTACAGCTTTAGCTGTATCCCACAAATTTTGGCATGCTGTTCCCATTTTGATTTAGTTCAAAATATATTCTAATTTCCCTTGTGATTTCTTCTTTGACCTGTGAGGTATTTAGAAGTGTGTTGTTCAAGTTCCAAATGTTTGGGAATTTTTAATATTTTTCTGTTACTGATTTCTAACTGAATTTCACTTTGGTCAGAAAATGTATTTTTTTGCAATATTAATACTCCAAAATTTATAAACTTCTCTTATGGCACTGAATATGGTCTATGTTGGTGAATGTGTATGCACACAAGTGTATTTGTGTGCATATACATATTTATATTTATATTTATATTTATATTTATATTTATATTTATACACACACACATATATTCTGCTGTTCTGGGCTCAGTGGGTGGTGTGTTCTACAAATATCAATTTGGTCAAGTAGATTAATTATGTTGTTCATGTCTTTTATATCCTTAAAGATTTTCTGTTTACTTGTTCTGTCAATTATGGAGAGAAGAGTGCTGAAGTATTCAAACATAAAGTTTGTCTATTTTTCCTCAGTTCTGTCAGTATTTTGAAGTAATGGTAATGGGGTGTATGTACATTTAAAACTGTTATGTCTTCATGATGAATTGATCCCTTTAAAATTATGAAATGACTCATTCCTTCTAATTAAATGAAGTCTAATTCATTGCATATAAATATAGCTACTTCAGCTCTCTTATGATTTGTATTTGCATGTTTTCTCTTTTTACTTTTAACTTACGTGTTTACATTTAATGTGTGTCTCTTGTAGATGGCATATTGCTTTTTTATCAAGTGCAACAAATCTGCCTTTAAAGCATTTACAATGGATGTATTATCAATATGGTTACTACTTGTTTTCTATTCATCCCATCTGGTATTTGTTCCCATTCCCTCTTTTCCTTCTTTCTTTTAGACTGGGCACTTTTCAGGATTCTGTGTTAACTCCACTATTGCCTTATTGCTATTTTTCATTTTGTTTTTCGTAGTCTCTGATGTTTGTAGTATGCACTTAAACTTACTGCAGTCTATCTCTGAATAATTTTGTATCAATTCACATCTAGTGTAAGTATCTTACAAACAATATAATGATGAAATGCTTCCATCTTACCCCATACGTTATGCCACTGTTGTCATATAATTTATTTATATGTATCAGAAATTTCATAATGTTATGATTTTTACTTTCAACCAATTACCTTTTCAATTTTAAAATGAGGGAAAAAACCTTTTATGTTTTCCCACATATTTACTATTTCTTTTGATTTTCATTTCCCCATAGAGACCCACGCTTTGAACTAATATCATTTTCTTTTTGCTTAAATGTTTGCTAACATTAGAACATTTAAGCCTTGTTTGTTTGAAAACAGTATTAATTCACCTCCATTTTTGAAATAGCCTCCCTGGGTATAGAATTCTAGGTTGTAGGTTCCTTTTGGCAGTTTAAAGATGTTACTCTATTGTCTTTTGTCTTACATAGTTTCTTATAACAAAACTTGCTTTCATTTGTTCCTCTGTAAATAATTCTCTTTTTTTCTGTGGCTGCCTTTAAGATTTTCTCCTTAGTGTTTATTCTTAGTAATTTGATTATGATATATCCTGGTGAGATCTTCTTTTTATTTCTCCTGCTTGGGATTTATTAAGCCTCTTAAGGATCTGTGATATTATTGTTTTCCCCAAATTTGAGGAAATTTTGGCCATTATTTAATTCTCTCTCTGTGCCCTACCCTCTTTTCCCCTGGGTCTTCAATTACACGTTAGGTTGTTTGCTATTGTAACACAGGTCACCAAGACTCTGTTATTTTTTTCTCCAGTCTTTTTTGTTTCTGTGTTTCATCTTTGATCATTTTTATTTTTACTATAAGTTCAACAGTATTTTCTGCAATATTTAATCTGTTCTTGATGCCAATAGTGAATTTTTCATTTCAGATACTTAATTTTCCATCTCTTGAAGTTCCATCTGGCTATTTTTTAAAATATATATTTCCCTCTTTCTTCTCACTAAATTCATGTTTTACTTAAAATATTTGAGCATAGTTACAATAGTTGTTTTAATATCCTTGGGCGCTCGTAACATCATCTTTATTATTCCTCAGACTGTTTTTATTGATTGACTTTTCTCTTGATTATAGGTCACATTTTTCTGCTTCTTGACACTCCTACTGATTTTTTATTGAATGCTGAACATTAAGGATTTTATGTCGTTGAGTCTAGATTTTACTGTCTTATTTTGAAGAACGTTGGGCTTTGTTTTAGTAAGGGGCTGTTATTTGTGTCCAGGTTGATCCTTTTGAAGTCTGTATTTAAACTTTGTAAGCCAAAGTCTGGAGTAGGCTTTACTCTCAGGATTAGTCACATTACTGAGACAGCCCTCTAGAATCTGAATTGCTTCTCTGAGTGATGAGCAAGGTCTCTCCAATAAGGCTGTCTGAAACACAAATGCATCCCAGACTTGAGTAAGCTCTACGAAATGTTGTTCAGTTCCCAGCTTCCAGGTAGTTCTTTGTCTAAATTTACGGAATTTCTTCTTGCATATCTACATCTTATTATTCAGTACAAACTGAATGGGGTCCTTATGTAGATTTCTGGAGTTCTTTTTTCTTCGTAGAGCCCACCTTTCTAGAACTCTACCCCATAATGTTAGGTGCCTCAGATTCTCTCAATTCTGTCCTCTATCTCCTCAACTCAGCAAAACAGTTGTTCTCTGTTGGAGTGCCTCTTCCGTGTTCCATGGTTGAGACTGTGCCTCCAGGAAGAGGCTCAGAGTGACTGCAGAGATCACCTCATTTGTTTCTTTTCTATCAGGGATCACAGACTTGCACTGCCTGTTGTTCAATGTCTAAAATAATTATTTCATATATTTTATGTAGTTCCCCCCTTTTTTTAAGATGGAAGGTTTAATATGATTTCTGTCATTCTATCATAGCTCAAAGTAGAAGTCTTTTTTTTATACTTCTACAATGAATCTTGGAAAACATTTTGGCAGCTCCTCAAAAAGTTAAACATATAATTACCATATGACCTAGGAATTCTACTATTCAACATAATTAAAAGCAGGGATTCAAGTGGATATTTGAATATGCATGTTCATAGTAGCATGATTCATGATAGCCAAAATTTGGAAGCAACCCAGTGTTCAACAAAAGATGAATGGATAAACAAAATGTAGTATATGCATACAATGGAATATTATTCACTCCTAAAAAAAAGTGAAATGCTGAAACAGGCTATAACATGGATCAATCATGAAGACATAAAGCTATGTGAAATAAGCCAAACACAAAGGATAGATACTGTATGATTCAATTTATATGACATACCAAGAATAGGCAAATTCATAAAGACATAAAGTAGAATGGAGGTTGCCAGGGATTGGTGGGGAGGGTGGATGGCAAGTTACTGTTGAATGAGTTTAGTTGGGGAAAATCAAAAAGTTCTAGAGATGGATGGTGGTGATTATTGCTTAATGTCACTGAATTGTGTACTTAAAAATGATTAAAACAGCAAATTATATGTGTGTGTGTGTGTGTATGTATACAATCACAACAAAAAATTACCAAGACAGAAAAATTTTCCATCTATAATAAAGGATTTCTGACAAATATTTCAAATATTCCAATAAAAATCTGACTCCAAAATTTGTGTAACACAACAAATAAATGCAATTCATGATTATAAACCAGATCATTTTGGTATAAAGTATAGCATTGTCCCAGTTGGCAAAACTCAAATGAGATCTGAGGATTAGACAGTAGCAATTTATCACTGTGAATTTCCTGATTTTGATGGTTTATTGTGTTTAGGAGAATGTCATTGTTTGTAGGAAATACACACAAAGTCCAGGGTGATGGATCAATCTACTCTCTTAATGGTTCAAAGAAAAGAAGATCATTTGTAACGGATCTGAAATTTTTCTGTAAGTTTTTTATGGTTTCAAAATTTTAAAATATAAATGACAGTATTAAAAAAGACTGTGTAATGTTATCACATTGATCTGGTAAGAGTAGAATTACCTACAGTAAAATCACAGTAAACCATGTGTTAACCTTTGTAAAAAGTTTAAAATTAAAACTTTGAAAAAAGAAAAAAAAAAGAGGCAGTGAAGAACAAAGTCTCTGCTTCATACTGAAACTCAATGTCTTGCTTTACAAGAGAGTAAAAAGGGAAAAAGACAAAACCAAGGTGGATAGCAAGCACTTATACAAACTTGCCAGCAAATGTCTGATAAATGACCAGAAATCAACTCTTAGTTACTTACACAATGGTTTTTCCAATGTGCAAAAATGATTTCTCTACAAATTCCCGAACGCTATGGACTTCCCCAGTAGCTATGACAAAATCCTCTGGCTCATCATTCTGCAACATCAGCCACATAGCCTAGAGAGAGAGAGAGAGAGGCAAATCCAAGTTAAAGTTGAATGCATCCAGTTGCCCCTTGGGAAAGATAATGTTATCAAAAGCATGTAATTGGATATGGACATTGCTAAAAGGTAAACTGAGGCACATTAAAAAATTTTTCTTTCAAGAGTTTATTGGAGCATACATCAATTCAAATAGGGCAGAACTAAACCAAAGGAGGTTGGGAGCGCTGCACTAACAGAAAGTAGGAGTAGGGTTTTCATAGAGTAGACACTGAAGCACAGTAAAAAAAGTTATTTGATTGACTCTAGTTTACACAGTTGCCTTATTTGAAAAAGTGGAGATAGCTGTTTGTGATTGGTTGTTCTTAAGTTTCATTTTCTTGGATTTGAGTGCATGGACTCTGGCTTAGGTTTTGGTTCACTTACATAGGCTATTAAGGCATTAAAAGCTGCCTCTGTCTAATGCTCTCCTTATATGAATTCTTTGACCTGCACAGCTAGAAAATGAGCATGAATTTAACACAATATTCTAACCATCACAGTAGTGGTTCTCAAACTTGAATGTGCATGAGAATCATCTGTGGAACATCTCAGTATAGATGCCCGGGACACAGGAGTCTGGACTCAGTAGACGTGAGAACATTTAGGCATCTTGATTCCCACACAGCAGGTCTTTGGGCTACAATTTAGAGGAACAAGTATCTGTGGCAAAGAAGCTTTTACATATACTTAAGAAAGGAAGAGTTTAAAAAGTATTGCCAAATTTTCCTTAATATCATGGACGGAAGGTAAGAAAAAGTCATTTTTTAAAGACAGATGATTTTCCTCAAAAGTAGAACCAAATTTTTAACGATAAGGTTAGAAATTTACCAATGTGCTGACATCAAAAAGCAAAACAATCAAGAATCATTAATGGGAAAAGAATCATGTGATGAACAAAACTGCCACTTTTAAAAAGTTATCTGAGTGGCAATAAGAATGTTTTCACCAGAGTTCAGGATTCATCAGGTAGCATTTCAAGGTCAGGGACTCAATGGGGGCATCATACTGGTGGTGCACTTTTTCCACAGGAATGAGAAGTCTAGTTGGGCAACAATGCAGCTGCATGTCTGAGACACAAACTGGTGGCAACTGTCATAGCCTGGCTCCACTCAGTTGTAACTTTTATCAGTAGCTATACAGGACTACAGTTTCTATAGTTTGGAACTGTACATTACTTTTTGTGATTTTGTTGCACAGAAGACACAGATTTAAAAAAAAATCATAGCTTATAGTTGACTAAGCATGCCTCTTTAATAAAAATCCAAGCCAAAAAAAAAGGTGTTTTTTCATCATTCTCGCCCACTTTTCAAAATAAAATGGGCAAAGGTAACAGGCACTTCATTAGAACACAGTCCCCAATATTATGTGTATTAAACTTCTGTAACATTTAAGGAAAACTATTTTGGTTGGTGTCTCCCCAGCTGCTATTGGAGCTGATATATAAGTTGCTGTAATCAATGGGGCAATTTATTTTTTCTTAGAGAATGTAACCCAAAAAGTTTAATTCCTCTTTATTCATTTGAATTTGTGGCATCCTTCTGAAAAATAAAAAAAATGATCTTTCCCTTTAAGTTATTTCTTGTGAATATTTTGTATTTTTGGTCTATTACAAGACTATTTCAAATCATATTCTTGTTCTATGGAAGATGATACCTTTGGCAATTGTATATGCCTTGGAGATGGGGTACACTGGCTGGGACAATGGCAGTAGATTCAGGTCAGTGATATACCGAAAAGTAGCTAAAGAAACTGTCTTGGCTAGGAGAGAGTTCTGCTGACATTAATGAAATTTCTGCAGCTTCATTTTGCATTAGTTCACAGTTGGTGAACACAGTTGATGAGCAACACTTCAAAAATTGTTAAATTAGTATTAGTAATAAAACTTGATCAATTTTTAAAAGACATAAAAGTGCAAGATGTTTTCTTTATTGGGATAGTCCATGCAACACAGAGTTTACAAAATCTTTGTACCTCCCTGAACTCAGGGATGAGCTATTAAATGCTCTAGGCTGAGAGGATTAGTGGGTTCTGAAATGCAGCCCAGCTGTGCTGGCCAAGCCCTGTGCTCAGCACCCTTTGTTGTGAAGGTCCTCACAGGGCTGTCTTTTGTAATGGGCACCAAGGCACATGCGCATTAGCACAGGCCTGGTGGGGGTCTACCTCCCAGTGTCTCTGTGCCTTGCATGTGCAGTTCCTGCAGCTTAGAATACCCTCTTCCCTCATTTGTCTGGAAACTCTGACCTCTCCTTCCAGATCCCATACAAAAGCCCAAAATCTAGTCCTTGAAATAAATTCCTATTATCTCACTGAGTTTCCACGTGACCAGTGGCACACAGTATTGTTGGCTTCCCTGGGACTGAGCCTGCCCTTTGGCCACCCTTCCCCAACTAAGCTGACCCTCCCATCTTCCCTGAGTGCGCGCGCGTGTGCACACACGCACACACACACACACGCACACACACACACACACACATACACACACACACGCACACACACACACACACACACACACACACACACACACATGCTTGTTTTGGCTTTCTTCAAAAATACTTTCAGAGTTTTTAGGAAAAATTAAATTATGCTTCTGGCTACAATTTCTATTTGAACATTTTTCTGAGGGATTAGTGTATACACTTACACGTGTTTTACTCAAATTTCCATTCTAAAAATAACATTTAAAATAGGTCTTTCAGGACTGCTCAGCTTATTTCTTTTGAAACACTATGTTGTGCTAGAATGGTTTTGAAAAAATTATATTTTTAGTCGTGTGAAAGAAAGCAAGAGCTTGCTAAAAATAAAAGGAGAAAATATGATTACTCGTTAATGGTAGATTACTTTAAACACTAGGCACGAGTTCCCTGGTACTTGTTTTGTTCCCTGACGGGAATCTGGGGATCAGTAGGAGACTCTCACTTTCACTAAAGTGGGTGCCAAGAATCTGCTCTTTTCTTTTCCATCAGACTATCTGTGGCCTTTGACCTATCAATTTCTAGGCATTTCCTCTAAAGTTCATATTGTACCAGACTCCAGTCTGGGAATGGGAAGGGAAAGGATATACAACCCCAGATTTATTTGTTATTACTGAATAGTTTACTGGTTTTAACAGAGGGAAAGGGCTTTGTTTAAATTTCCACTGAGCATAATTAATGGTTATTGACTGGTAAATGAAGAACAGGTGACATTCTGGATTAGAAGATAAATGATCTTGTGTTTGGGTGTGATAATGGGTTAGTAATTTGCCACAGAGCCGAGGCCCAGTGCATCCCATCATAATGCTAGATCATGTCCAGGACACAAAGGCCCCTGTGTGAGAAGTACTCAGCCATTCACCTCCTTATACAGCTGCACACGTTGATTTGGTCCATTTATTCTCTGATGGATAGCACAACTGAGGCAAAAGCTCACCACTTCTCACCTTCCTGTTCACATGCTGAACATATGACCCATAACACAGCCAGGCCACAATCTGTGATCAAATCGCCACTTGGCTTTGACGTCTGACTATAGAAACAATTTTGAGGTTACATGTTTTAGATGTCAGTCCTCTCTCTTTGTCTCTCCAGGAATGAAGGAGAAAAAAGAGAGTCTTCCCACATTCTTTCAGTGCCCTTTAAGGATATGACTGACTTATCCACTTCCTCAGATACTTATTTACTTTCAGCCATGACCTGATCACCAGTGCAAACAAAAAAATCTCCTGCTTTTTAATCCATCCCACAGGGAGGAAAGACAGTTAAGGAATGTACCAAGGCTTTAGATTCTTCAACATAAAAATATCCCTTAATGGCGAATGAAAAGTGCAGTTTTCAAATCATGTCTCACATTCATTTTGCTTTTAAGGCACATGATGTAGAGAAGAAATCTGACACCATACCATTGACATTGAAGGCCAAGCGTAGATGGTTATAAATATTAGTTAAATTTGGACATGTGTTCTCTGGTAACTATATAATTATAGACAGAACATATCTGTTCTATAAATCTAATTTAGAGAAGTCAAAATAAAAAAAATTCAAAGAAAAACACTCTGTCCCAAAATGTACTCTTTGGCTATTCAAATCATGAATGCGGAAGTAGGTAGTGAAGGATCATTCCGCTTTCTTTGATTTGGTAGCTCTGGAGGCTGTTCACAGCTGGACCAGTGAAGGAGAACACCCAAAGTACATCACCACAGCCGACTAACTACACCTGATTCCATGCATGCCTTTTGGGGTGTGAGGTGTGTTTGTCTTAAAAATCTGGATTCTACAATTGCTTCCACCTCGCCATTAACCTCCAGTTCAGTATCCAAGCCACAAACACTTATTAACTGAGCTGTCATCCATGAATAACAAGATTTGTTAATCAAGGTTATGTTTAACTATGTTTATTTGACTGCTGCTTTTCCAGTCCTGTGCTTTGTGCTTTATGTGCTACTGTCATAAAAATAATCTTAGAACCATATGTATACATATATACATATATATGTATATACATATACATATACATATACATATACATATACATATACATATACATATACATGTATATATTTCAGGGGAGAAAGTCTATGAAATAATTCCAATAAAAATCAAGGGAATTTGAACAAATGGAAATAAAAATTCCCAATAAAAAATGCCAACTAGGGCTCCATTCACATACATTTTGTCTTTAAACTTTAGTAGCTGTCTTCATGATAACAGCTTGGTATTTATACAGTTCAGGTCAGGAGTTCAAGTAGTCTTGTGCTACGTCAGGCTTTATGCTTTGTAGTACCCACATATGTAGTCCTGAGCATTAGTATGGGAGACTACCCCCTACTAAGACATAGTTGGGAAACAGGTACCAAATGACTATATAAATAAAACTATATCAAGAAAATTATCTAGTATAAAACCAAAGGCTGGCCTTAAGGCCTTCTCAATCTAGTAATTTTCTTCATGGACAAAAATACTGTGGTTTGTAGATTCCTTTCATAGAGTTCTTCAGACA